GTGTACTCTATAAAACTTGGCTGGACTTGGCTGTGGAGATGGTCTCTCTACATTCTGTGAACCTTAAGGAACTGCAGGAAGCTCGAGCAACACTCAAAAATAAGATTCTTAGAGATTTTTATTTGAATTCTAGTAACTGAAATAGTGTGTTCTATGGAAAGTGCACAACAATGTTCATACTTGGTAGTGTACCCACCCTTGCCTAAAATATTCTGCATTATCACTGTAGCTGCTTTAAAGATTGCAGCACTAACAGTAATAAACAAAGCATGCCTCATTTTGTTCCTTGATTTTTTGAATTACTTCAGGACCAGATTTGGAGTTCAGCATGCATGATGGGACAATCAGAGACCTTGCTTTTATGGAAGGCCCAGAAAGTGGTGGTGCTATTCTAATAAGTGCTGGAGCAGGGGACTGTAATATTTATACAACAGATTGTCAGCGAGGACAAGGCCTGCATGCTCTAAGTGGTCACACTGGTATGTATGTTGTTGCTTCCCTCATGCGCTTTTTAAGTCTGTATTGTATTGTAATGAAGTTGTTGGGTTGTTTTTTTTTTTTTAAATGTCTTTGGTTTTTTCTTTCTAGCAAGACTTTTTTTTGTCTCTCTAGATTGCTTTTTGAGGTATTTGGGGGGGAGGTGGGGAGCGTTGTTTTTAAATATGTTGGCTCTTCATTTAATGGAGAGAGTGCATGCTTCATTCCTGAGAAGAGGCAAAGCTGGGTATTGCCAGACACTGTTGGCATTTTAGATCATGCAACGTGCAGGTTTTCCATAGGACTGTTAAACCTCTGAGTGCAAAAATATAATCAGAATTGTAATATTTCATTATTTGATTAATGATGTTTAATCAAATAAAGAAGTTGTCTTGTTCACAGGTCATATTTTAGCACTTTATACATGGAGTGGCTGGATGATTGCATCTGGATCCCAAGACAAGACTGTAAGATTCTGGGATCTGAGAGTGCCAAGCTGTGTTCGTGTTGTAGGAACAACGTTTCATGGAACAGGTAAGACTTGCTATTGTGCTTCTAATCATTTTTGCATAAAAATATATTTTAAAGATGTCTAAGTAGTATAGAGTGAACGCAAGGGGTTTTTGCATCACAGAATGGAGGCTTGGCTTTAGAAGAAAGCTGTGAAGGATATCTTTACCTTTGTGTTTTGTTTGGGGTTTCTTTTTTTAAAGTAACATTTCCTTTTGAAAGTTGGCTAGTTTTTTGCTTTGTGACTTTCAAACAGACACTTCCAAGTACATTAAAATAAACAAGATGAAAGATAACTGTTTCAGAATCAAAGAAAAGGGTGGGAAGGAGCAGCCATTTTTGCAAGTTGTCAACATACTCTATAGAAATCTACAAAAGGATTCTTAAGAACCACTTGGGTTTGGATTTGTTTCTTGAAATTTTTTGGGGGGTGCAATAAATTAGAACTGAGAGGGAGGAACTCCTTGCATTATTCTGCATTATTTCATAAAGAGTGACTTTCTTTCCTGTAATGAAAAAGATACTTTTTTTCATGCAGCTTTAATAGTGGCTTTGCTACCATTCAAGTGTGACCTATGCTTCAGAGTTTTAAGTGCTAGAACGTAAAAAAATTTCTCAGTTTAAGATAACAGTAGCTAGGTACGTTTACCTTAAATCTAAGGCCAACATTCAGTATTCTTATACAATGTATATTTTTGGGGTTGTTTTTTTAAAGTTGGCTATTTGCACAAAGGTAGGTAAGTATTATGTGTGTTTGCTGCGTTTTTTTTCTCCTGTAGGAAGTGCTGTAGCCTCAGTAGCTGTTGATCCCAGTGGTCGTCTCCTGGCTACAGGACAAGAGGACTCTAGCTGTATGTTGTACGATATTCGAGGAGGACGAATGGTGCAGAGCTATCATCCTCATTCTAGTGATGTTCGTTCTGTTCGCTTCTCTCCAGGGGCACACTACTTGCTCACAGGATCATATGATATGAAAATAAAGGTGACAGACTTGCAAGGTAACATACTGCAAAGGATACTAGGTTAATTTTCAATTTGGTACTTTTTAATGTTGAAAGTTGTCAGAGAGCTTGGTTCGAGGATCATGGTTTAGTTGAAGAGGGGGGAAAAATAGTAGAGCTTTGAAGGGTTTGAAATGTATATAAATGTGATTGTGTCCGTTCACAATTGGCTAGTGTTGCTAAGTAGGCTGTCAACTAAATCTTGTTTTGGGGGAGGGTCTGATTACGATAAAAGAACTAATTAACGCTTGCCTGATGAAATGGCCATTGCTTTCAGGCAGCATTCATAAAACTGACCCTTTAAAAAAAAAGAAGTATAATAATAATGCTTATTTTTATTGGGGAGGGTTAGGAAGAGAGAAGACACCGGGTATATCTGATCGACTTGATTTTCTTGGACCATTAAATCTTCATCACGTAGTGTAAAAACTGTGAATACCTGTATTTTAAATTTGTACTGTGTCCAGTAATGCCTAAAAACCAAAACATGGGGCCTTGTGTTATGCTCTGTGTGTGTGTGAGAGAGGGGGGTCAAGTATGCTTCATAAGGTGAAATACACATGTAAGCTTCACTAAACAAACATTAAAAAAAAAAAAACACCCCCCAAAAACAGAGCTGGGATACAAATTCATGAAATGACTAATGATTTCTGTTCCTCCGCCATAGGGGACCTCACGAAGCAGCTTCCTCTTATGGTGGTGGGAGAGCACAAGGACAAAGTTATTCAGTGCAGATGGCATACACAAGATCTTTCCTTCTTGTCATCTTCTGCAGACAGAACTGTAACCCTTTGGACTTACAATGGCTAGAGTGCAAACAAAGGCAACCTATGCAGCTAAAGCACAGAGACCTGAGACTACAGAACTGTAAAAACAAAGTAATAATAACTAGACATGGAAAGAGCAGCAGTTGAGCAGGAGAGTGTCTTATCCAAGAGGAGGGGCACTTGTCACAGATTTTTCTGGTCTCTAGGAGGTCTTGGTGTTGTTAGTATATTCTTTTGCAGTGCTTTCAGTCTTCCACGTGAACTCATGCTGCTGTGACCTATTGTAGTCTTGTTGCCAAAGTCTATGAGGAGAACTCTTGTCGATGTGCACTCAAAGTAACATGAATTATGTGTTTACAGTTTGGTATTAATTGCATTCCTTGGTCTTTGCCTCAATGAGAATTTTATATAGCAACTTAAGTTGAACAACACATTAATCAAGTCTGTATGTAACTAGTTCCACTCACATGTAAAAGATAAATTACTTCCACTGTTTTTTCAGACCTATTATATTCATCACTTCTCAACAAGAGGGCAAACTTTATAACATCTCCACAATTTCCACTTTTTTAGTAATAAATTCTGAACTTTAAAGGTGACTAGGCAGTAACTGCATCTTGATTATGTATGGTCCATTATATAGTGTGGGGGGTTTTTTTGGTTGTGGGGGTTTTTTTGTTTTTTGTTTTTTTTTTTCCCATTTAAACTGGGGAAAATGTTGCTGTTTTTACATGACGTTGTTTTGAACAAGCTAATGTTGGGGGGGGCGTAAAATATTGGGGGTTTGTTTGTTTGGGGTTTTTTTCTGTAGAAACATAGTATTTTATGTTTTTGAATGCAACAGAATACCTCTGTAAAATGTACTGTAGAAGAGAGTGGATTGGCAGCAGTTGTCACAGTGAGCTTAATGGCTATCAGTTTTTCAAGTAAAAAGGATACCATTAATGCTGTAATAGAAACCAGCATGGCTTAAAATGCTATGTCTGCATGATAATTTAAGAATTGTTTAAATTCCCAGTTCAGAAGCTTATCTGAATTTTATTTCTTGCACTGTTTATGTATGGGAAATTGCAGTTTTATTTCTACAAAACTTTAGATTCTAATGTTTATGTATTGTTATATTTTCATATTGTACAGTTCCTTTTACTTTTGAAAATATAAACCTTAAACAGTAGGTTATTTATTTATTTGAACTGCAGTTAAGTTTTGGATTCTTTTGGTTACTAAATTATATGTGCACTGTAGCAAGCATTTTTAACTATTGTCTAAAAGTGGAAAGGTAACTATAGAAGTGTATCTGTGCTATAATCTCAATAAAGACCTCCAACACCTGCAGCTGGCTTATCTGTTATTTTGGATTCTTGGTTTATTAATTCTTCAGGGTTGCACTGATACTTAAATCATATGTCAAAACCTGTTGTATGCCTAGAAGTATAAAAGACTTTAGATCTTTGATACTACTTCCATGTATCTGTTTCTTTTTCTGAATTGGACACATAGGTTAAGGTCGTAATGCTGCTATGGAGGAAAGTACAGCTTCTAACTATTCTGTTCCTCCAGTTGTCCATCTATGGTCAAAGCTGGCAGACTGTTTTTCAATGAGCACTACACCTCTTTAAATAGTAATTTCATTAAATGAATTTTATTACAGCTTGTGTCTTTACAAAGAGGGTCTAGTTTTACAGCTGTTGTCTTATGTCCCAGCCTCTAGCGACTCTGAGCTGTTCTATGTAGGTCCCCCCCCCTTGCTTGTATTTACTAAAGGGTACTCTTCTTCCTCTATGTCTGCCTGGAGCTGTCAACAAAAATAGAAAAAAAAGATAAATCCACGTACGGGGGGTGGGGGAAATGCTGCTGCTGCTGCTTCTCTGGCCCGTGTGCGGGGTTTGGCCGCCTCACGGCTCCACTCCGGGGAGGGAATGTTAACTGTGCTGTTGCCTCCGCTCCACAGCTCTGTCCTCCCTGCTTTCAGTGGTTGCGTTCCTCACCCTGCTGCTCCTTTAGACGTTAATTATTCTCCTGGCTGCTTCCTCCTGCGGTCGCTGCTTGCCCTGGCTGTGTGGCTTTGCAGCCGGCGAGAGCCGTGGCCGGCCGGCCCCGCCCGCCCGCAGAACGGCGGGGCTGAGGCAGCCTCAGGGAGGCCGGCGCCTCCCGCCGCCTCAGGGCCGGAGCGGAGCT